GGGTGGGGGGCTGCCCCGTCCTGGCGGGCCCCGGCCCCAGCGGCGGGGGTTGGCCGGTGGCTGCAGGAGGCGGTGTAGGGCCGCGGCGGTGGCGGTGGGGGTGACTCGCCTTCCCGTTTGGGGCCTGACAGCAGGGGCTGCTAAGTGTCCCTCCGTTACGCAGTTGGCATGTACTGTGGGAGCTTGGGGTTTTCTTGTAACGGCGTAAATAGCAAATCTTTGAGGCTCTTCTGGTTTGAATCTCGAAGTTGGCTCCGGGAGGTGACAGGAGCTCAGCCTAAAGGGAACGGGAGGGAATCAGATGTATGGCGGGGAGGAGGAGGAGAGGTGCAGACGCCGTAGGGCCGTGGGTGCCCCTGCTCCCTCACGTGCTCCGTGCGTGACGCGTGGCTCCTGCACGGCGCCGATAGCAGCCTCTGTACTTTGTGCAAGAGCTCCCAGAGAGGAAGCCGAGCTCCGCGCAAGAGCAAACACTTTCAGACCCTGCAGAGAAGCACTAAGAGGAGGTCAGTTGCTAGCTGGGGTGGATTTCCAGTGGGCACGGAGGTGGCCTTCAGCAAAGGGTTTGAGATGACTGGGGAGGGAAGGCTGCTCATTTAAAAAGCTGTTACAATAATGAAGGGCCAAAGAGTTTCCCCAGGCAGTGGTGTGTCTGTCCTGAGTTGGTTGGTCACGGTGCGCCTGACAAAGCCCGTCTGGCTCTTGACCCTTCGATTCTTTCAGGGTAGTAATGCTCTCGATGGTATCGTCAGTCTTGATGTGAGGGAAGACTAGGGCTGAAGTTTCTCAGTGAGTCTCAGTCCTGGGGTTCATTCACGCGAATGAGGACCTTGAAGATCTTCTTCTGAGTAATTGCTTCCTTTTTATTGCAACGTGCTTGATATTAAGACTGTAGCAAAGTGCAGGGACTTGATTGATGTGTACAGAAAAACAGACTCTTGTGCAAACAAAACGAAACTGGGAGGAGGTGCAGACGGCAGCAGAGTCAGAAAAATAATAGTCATCTCAGAATTGAGATTCCTTTGGGTATGACCATTGCTTGTTAATCGGGCAGGGAAGAAGAGGCCACTTGGCTTTTGTAATTCTTTTTTGTGTGTAAGTACAGGTCCAGGGTGTGGTAATACATGCATGGACATATTTTGATGTGTAGATTTGCTTCTGAATTAATAGTACATCTGGAAGAAAAACAGGAAAAGGAAACTGCTGAGTAGATGCAGCTTAGAAATAAATGATGGAAAAGCAGTGAAACTGGAATTGCAGAAAAAAATAGTCTGCATGAACAGCAGCTACCAAGACTTCATAGAGACAAGTGAACTGTCTTCCCTGGGTAAATTCTGGTGGGATCTTGTATAAAGAGTCTTCAGCTCAGACTTTGTGTGAAAATTGTATTTTAAAGGGCTGAGGTTTCTCTCCTTCAGCAGAACATGCTGTTCTACAGCACAGATGTCTGTTATCAAGAAAGTGAATTTTTATTAGACAGCAAGTTTCAGGTAGGTGCAGAAAACATATGTAACGCTTGGAAAAATGGGAACAGTTGGCTCTTTAGAGTCTGGTAGTAAGCTTCTGATGTCAAGTGTGATTCTTTAGTTTTTAAATGCTTGACTAGGCTTTTTTACTTTTTAAATCTAGGTACGTCATTTTTCTTACCTTATGATTCGCTATACAAGGTGTATCACTTGCATCTTGCCATGATGTTTGTCTAAAACAAGTGGGGTTCTTAAATTGTGTACTACCTGGGGAGATGCTGTTTTTTGACAACCATTTCACCCTCATACTGATACAGTTTGGGCTTTCTGTTCAATGACAGGTCCTGCTTATGGGTCATTTTTGAGTACACAGAGAAAAATCTCATGCAGCTGCACTGTCAGGTAGTAAAGTGTATACCCTTATACTAAGATCCCCGAGTAGTTTCTTACGTGCTAACTCCAGGTCTCTCCTTCTCAGTGCCTGCTAGTTCCCAGGCATTTAGAGGATTATATGTCTCTAAACTGTTCTAGGGTTACCTGATGTGAGACTCCGGGCTTTTGTCTTTTGCACTGTTGGGAAAGGGCTGGGGAAGATTCTGCAAAAGCCTTCTAGAGCTCTGTGGGAACTACAGTCTGGTTCACAAGACGGACCTGAAATCTAAGAGGTCTTCTGCTCTGGATCCTCCTTCTGTTAACATTTCTGCCATGGAGCACTAACCTAGAGTCAAGGAATGGAGCTGCCTGCCTGGCTGTGAAAAGCACATGGAGGCATCTGGGGAGTCTGGTCTGCCTTTCCAAGGGGTTAAGGAGGGTTTTGGCAAAACCACTATCCACTGGGCTCTTTCCAGTGTGGAACTGTAAGGATCCTAACGACTTCCTTCTTCCACATGGTGCCACCCTAGGATTAATTTTGTGCCTAAGGGGAAATCCCCCAGTGCTGTCTAATAATCAGCTCTCCTGCCTCTGATCAAGCGCTGCAAGTTGACTGTGAAGCCAAGTCGTGATCTGTGTAGGGACAAGTGAGGATGCTTGGTGTCTTGCTGGCCCTATGGCAGTACCATCACTGCTCTTGGGAAGATTTGGATTTGGTCCCTACGTGCTTCAGGACCTCACTTTGGGGACACTGCTGCTACTGGGCATCCCCAAGAATCTCCCATGAAAGGCATCTCAGTGGATGGCAGCAGTTGAAGTAGGTCCTCTGTTCCCACCCGGGGCGGGAAAGTCCCTGGGAGCTGGGAATGCTGAGGGGCTGCCCTGGGGGGCTGTGGATGCTTCCTCAGTGTGGGCTGTTCGGTTGTGGGGCTGCTGAGCTGCAGTGGGGAATGCTTTAAGCACACTGACTCATAGGAGTTGGTGCCTGGTGTTGCCATAGAAATTGGATCATCTGCTAGGGGTGGGGAGTCCTTGTCCCTTGGCTCCCCTGCTGCATGGTTCCAGCATGAGCTCACGGTGAAAGGGAACCTGATTTTTTGCTCCTTGTCCGTTCGAGATCAGAGGAGGTCAGACAGCTCTCGTGGCCCTCACCGGAGGGCAGGGAATAATTTTGCTTGGGTTTCTGCTTGGCTGCAGTGGTCAGACCCTGTGTGTTTGCTGTGTTGTCTTGGTGATCCGCTGCCCATATATGTCTTGCTCTTTTGTATTTTGGGAAACTTATGTAATTTGCTGAGCAATAGCTTCCAGCCCTTTGGGAGCTCCAGAGAGGTGAAAACTGTTTGTAAACTGGTGAGTAGCAGAGAAGGGAGGACAGGAAGTCGTGAGCGTGGAGCGATCCAGAGGGAGGGGACAAACACTGAATATCCAATTTCCTGCACTCTCAAAATGCATCCCCAAGCCTGGTCACGAGTGTTGTCCCAAGCATGGACGTGACGCCTTCTGATGCTCAGCCTCTCACAGTTTTTGTCTTCTGTGCTCACATCCGAGTAACTGCTTCATCATCTTCTCTGGATAAATATATGCATTCAGGCTCCAGGGATGGAAGATGCAAAACACTGTTGCCCCTCTCCATTCTGCTAAAGGAAATAACTTTACTGTGAATATAATCTTTCCACACAAAGGTGTTGTGCCTCCTCAGATAATCTTTGAACCCTTTGCTCTCCTCGTAATGCAAAACAAGCAGAAGCCTGTCTGAGAAACAGCATTACAGAGAGTCTTCCTGATGCAAGGTGTCATTTTGTTTTGCTACAGTTCCTCTTGGCTTGCTGCCTATTGTCCGTGTGGTCTGTGTGAGCAATCCAGATCTACGTACTTGTCCTTTTCCATGTTTCCTTGCTTATTTCCAGGACATTGGCATTAGAGGGTAACAGCTGTTTCCTAGGGGCTTATCCCTAAGAACTGGTACCCTTAGGAGATGCTGTATGCTGAGCTAGCTCAGCCCTGGGTTTGACATATCTTCTGCTCCAGGTGGGAGTGAGAAGTATTTGCAAGCAACAGCAAACACACTGAGCTGTCTGTTTCTTGGACTCTCTTAATTCCTTGGTCTCCTTAGTATTATGGCATGCTCAGTGAAAAATATTCATTCTAGCAATATGGCTTTAAGTTAAAGAGATGATTCCTTACTGCTTGCCATCATGTAGGAGAAGGGATTTGCTGGGTGATGCTGAAAGGAGATGAAGGTTGTATGTGTATTTTTCTCCCTGTCTTACTAGGTCAGCCTACGAAATCCTGTTTTAAGAAGCTGTTCACGTCTGTGTTCAGATCCCAGCACACTGAAGCACCCACTTCAGTGTTGTTGAGAGCTTTGTCCCTCCCTTATGGGGAGAAGGGGGGATGATTCCTGGGAAAGCTTCCAGCACTGGGCCAACTGTGGAAACAGCTGGGCTTTGTGCCAGCCCCTCGGAGGGAGGGGGAGCTCAGAGCTGGTACAGTGAGTGTATCAGGCAGGGGCTGGCGTAGCCTGTCGCCTTCCTGAGTGTCTTGCTTCTGCTCCTGTTTCAGGGGAGAAACTACTGTGGACAGAGCTGTGATCAAGCAGAGACTCACTGAGAGGGTTGGTAGAGGCTCCTGTTGGCCTTCTGATAGCAGTTGGCACGAAAGAATCTGACATGTCTGACATATGTCGGTGCTTGTGGCTTGGAGGAGGAGGAGGAGTTCCTGCCTGTGTTAAGGGGGGAGGGGAAGTATGATCTCTGGATAAGTAAAGATAAGGGAGGATTTGAGGAAAATCAGTGAGAAGAGGAAGAGCCTCTATGGAGAGGTAAATTTGTGATCTCTGTGTCTCACCTAGCAATCTCTGCAGTTCTTGTTCTAGACGCTGCCAAATAAACTGCGGTATTTGGGGACCATGGCTACAGACCCACTCTCAGAGCTTCAGGATGACCTGAACTTGGATGATACCAACGAGTCCCTCAGCCAGCTCAAACTGGCCTCCATAGATGATAAGAACTGGCCAGCAGATGAAGCCCCTGCTTTTCCCAAATCAGGTAAGTATCCTGCTTGTTTGGGGTCTGGGTTTTGGCCAAAAAGGAATTGCTTGTCCTGCAGCATTATGGTCATATCTACATATACAGAGAGCCCCAGCTCCATTTGAAAGCTTTATAGACACATTAATCTTGCACCACACCCAAGTGAATTAGCCCTGCCATTGAACAGGGCTAAAAAGCTCAGAGCCAGCTGATGTAAATATACTCTTAGTCCTGTGGCTGACTGCACTTTGGTGCTGACAGTACAGACAAGCTGTAAGTCCTTGAATATCCTCTGTTATGGTCTGTTGCAGGATAGTTTGGCCTTCCTGAGTGGAAGGGTCTTGAACTTCCATGTGGGAAGTGGGGCTGGAGATCCAACTTGTTGCTCTGAAATCCTGTGCTATGGACTGCTGCCCAAAGAGGTCAGGGAAATTAGCTCACGAGCACATAGGATGGGCATCCATCAAGCAACCATGTTAAGATCCTCCTGCTCTAAAAAGCCATGATGGTGCCCTTGGCACTTGGGTTTTGGTCTTTGTGAATGTTTGTGACACATCTGAACAGTAGTTTTTGAGAGGGTGTACAGTCTGAGGGACACGTGTGGACCTCACAGGATTGACAGGTCTATTCTGAAGTTATTCCTGCCCTTGCCCACTCAGAAGGTCAAAGGTGGGCTTCTGAGGTGGACAGGTGCATACGTTAGTCCCTCCCATGTTGAAGAACCATTTTTTCTCATCCCTCTATCTCTTTTTTACCCCTTGCCAAGGTGCTCCAGATCCCTTCTTCTAATTGCTTGTTCCTTGTGTTTTGTGCAGAGGACTCCAAAGGCTCCCCTGAGCCCGTCACTCACCTGCGGTGGGATGATCCCTACTATGATATCGCCAGGCACCACATTGTGGAAGTAGCAGGTAGTGGTCTTTCTGTTTTCCCCTTTGATGTCTTTGCAGCTGGGCTGAGGAACGGTCTTTCTAATGGGGTTATGGGGGCATCTGCTATATGCCAGGCCCAAGTGGCCATGACAGCTGGCATCGTAAAGAGAAGGAGCACCAAACTTCTTGAATGTTTGCAATATGTGTAATTTTCCATTGACCTTGGTTAAACTTGCATTCCTTCTTGGCTCTTAGTGTCTTGATTATATTATTAGCAGGACTTGGTTGCTTTTGCTGAATTGTTTTAGATGTGGCCCTTGACGATACCCTGAGCACAAGATGTGTTTTTTGCATGATAATGCCACAGAAATTACCGAGTTATGGCAGTACAGCTGCAAGGTCCTCAGCTGAGTGAGTAATCCACAGTAGGTCTGGCAGCTCTCTTATATCTGAATGGCCAGAGCTTGCCATCCTGTCCAGAAACAGCATTTACAGAAATCTGAAATTTCTAATAAACCATGGCCCATGGTGCACTGCAAGGAAAGACCTGATCATTCAGGGTCACGAGCATTCGGATTTTCTCTGTGTGGTTGTCTTATCCATATTATTTTAATTACACTAACCCTCGGCGATTTACTGATGGGACCTCCATAAGAATTTTGGGGGTAGTTTTTAGGTTGCTGTGGTAAGTCTGAGGGAAAGGTAATCCCAGTTTGTCTTGCATTCCTTGTTTAAAAAAAAAAAAGCGCCTCTTCAACCTGTAGGGACTTGATTCACGCTTCCTCCTTGATTATCTGTAGCCACCTCCTACCCTTCCTATTGCCATTTCTCTGTGCCTTGGTCCCTGCCCCACATGTGAATTTGCAGTGAAGCAGAGGCACAAGCTGGAGTCCTCCTGATTCAGGGTTGGTCTGCAGCAGGGTTTGACCACAGAGGGAAGATTCTCAGTCATTTACCTTGGTAAGAGTTGTCCTGACATCATTCTTTTCTGGGCTGTCTTCTAGAATGAGCTTTCTTTCTCCTAACCTCTCATGTTACATCTTTTGGGGAGGAAAATGATAATGGCAAACTCACATCTCTGTTGTCCTTTGTCTCCTGCATGCCTCTGGCTGCTCAGGTTGACAGGCTAGGTGTTTAGCATTTGGGCCATTATGTCCTGTAGCTTTGCCACAAGTGCTTTCATTTGCAAATGTGTTACTAACCTTCTTTTGCATGGGGCTGGAGTTTCAAGACTGGGGTTTATAGAGGTCTGCACCCTGGTCTCCCTACTGCTGGAACTGGGAAGGGACAGATGTGTGGATTCCACCATTTCAGTCATAATAGCTAGACCATTTGGAATGTGAATGGCAGAGGTAACTGGTGTTTCTGGACTCTGGGAGCTGGTGAGTTAAATGATACTGTTGTTCACTTCAGACAAAGCTCCAGACAAAGTGCTTAGCAGAGAGTTTAGATCAGAGACATTGATAAGACTGGAATGTCAGCCCAAGCCAAGGATATACTTTGTGTGCTGCCTCCTGACGTAAGCACCAGTCTTTCTGTGGGATTTCTGTTCCGAAATAACATTTTTTTTTTTTTCCCCAAGCTCTCTGAATAGAGTATCACTCCAGTGGAGGTGTGTCTCAGTGCCTGTTGGAATGCAGCCATTTGACACGTTAGTCTAGGATAGCAAATGAAGAATTATCTAACTTCCTGAAAGGATTTTGGGGTGGTATGATGGCTGACTGGGAGGCGCGCCTGCATTCTGAAAAAGATCTCTTCCCCATCGTGGTTTAAGTTTGTGTTTCTAGTGAGCTCTCTGTCCCTGTCGTGCCTCTGAATAGTGCAGAAGCAGCTCGGAGAAGCTTCTGTTGTTGGCTGCTCCTGGCCAATTTTCACCAGTAGGTGGTTTATCTGAAAGCCTGTGATTGTCCCACACACAGAACGTGGGGCAATGCCTTTCTTGGCGTTGGAAGAGCTAGTAGCACGGATCCAGACAGTGGACTTGCTGCCCCATAGTTTTGAGACTCGCTAGTGTCTCATCTCCTGGAAGCAGGATTTATGAAGTTGATCAAAGGGGCCTGACTTGTAATCTGGGCTCTGGGGTGAAGCTGTTTGTTCAGTTTTCTTGGTCAATAATTAATAATGTTAACTGTTTGGAAAATCAGACAGGGTCATGTTCTCTGGGCTGTTAGAGGCAAACAATCTGGGAAAATCTGGAAAAATCCTATTAGAAGTAGCCTGGAGAATAAAAATCTCACTGGAGGATTAATATGAAACTGTTTCGATCTGGCTCTACTGACAAGTTGTGCTTGTCAGCACCTTCAGGTGCAAGGAATGCTCGCCACGCTGAGCCTGAAACAAAATAGCTCCACCCCGGTTCTCTTGTAAATATTAGCAAACGGCAGCAGATCAAGGGTAGTTTTATCCATTCTGCTGACTTATGAGCTTTCTCTTCTGTGTCCTTCCCTGTTCTGCTCTTCAGAGCAGAAAGCATATGGGGAACTCTGTTCCTGCCTTCCCTGAAATATATTCTGGGATGATGATGCTATTTTGAGACAAAACCAGAAGGCTGGTTCCCATCCTCGGGCTGAACTCCACAATCCCAGGGTTATCCTGTGTGGTCAGAAAAGTAATTGCTTCTTGCAGGGTCGGTTCGTGGTGTTAATAACTTACGAAAAGCCCAGTTTTGATGACAAAAAGTTAGCACACTCAGTTTCTAGCTGACCCTAATTTCTGATTCAGTTCAAGGCACGCTGGATTTGAATATCCTGGCTATCTGGCCTAAAGAGGGAAAATAATATCGAAAAACATTTTGCAGAATTTGCTAGAAAAATAAGGGGTTTGGTTTTGTTTTTCACTTAAAAATAGTGCAGCGTTTTCATGGAGACTTTCCTTTGTGCCCTATGCTCCTGTGTCTTCTGGGGACTGGGATCTTCCTGGAAGAGGCTGTCCATGGGGAAGGAGCAGGCATGTTATTGCTGTCCTGTGTGGTGGTCTGTCACAGGCAGATGGCAGCAAGAGGCATCCAGGCTACAGTTCTGAGGGAGTACTGTGGCATTTTTATGAATCAGAATATTTTAGTTTTGGGAAACCTTCTTTTGGTTCTGGGATTCAATGCTTTTCTGAAGGAAAGAGATGATACTCTGCCTATCCTTTCAGACCTGCCTTAAGGTGTGTGTTTCTGGACTGTTTTACGCAGGCTCTAGAGAGGTCTCTGTGTGGTTGTGTTCTTCTTGACTCCGAGTTCCTCTTTTTGTGAGCATTATAGCAGAGAAATTTGTCCTTACACATGGCTAGAAGTTGGAGCGGAGGTGGCTCGATTTCAGTGCACAAACCACTTCTGCAAAGTGTGTTTTTTTTCCTTGCTCACATCACATAGTGTTTGGAGGAAATGCAGACTTCTGGTTGAAGGCTGTTGAGGAACTATCCCGAATTTCTGTTACATTTAAGAGTTTCTGTATCCTCCTGCTAATTCTTATATGGTAAAGGTGCTGCTTCCATTTCCTTTGGGGTTGAGGCAGACTAGGGTGACATAATCTTGGCCTTGAATTTCAGCAGAGGCTGAATTGCAAGAATATGGTAGATAGTTAATAACAGTCTGAAGGAGGTCTCTGGAGATGGCAGTGCATACTGGAAACCTTGCGCTGTGCGGGAAGAGCAGGGCTCTTGGCAGCTCTCTGGCAATGTGTTCCTTCCTCGTTCTGTCCAGTCCAAAATACTGCTCTTGCCTTTGTGGTCAATATGCAAGCCTGTAGCTACGAGGTGCATCAGCATTCCCATTTTACACAATAACT